TAAGTAAATCACTGGATTATCCAGAAGAAACTATTCTGAAGAGAAGTAACTCACAAGTGGGAGCAAACCTCACAGCCAAAGGGTAGTCATCTGTGCAGATGCGGATACAGACAGATAGCAGCGATCTGCCAATATCACCCCGCATATCTCAACTAAACTACTTTTCTTTTACCAGGTAAGGCCCACTGAGCTATATAGGTATCTTTCATAAGCCACCTGCCCACAAATTATAGCTCAACAAAGTGGCTTATCCACATGGAAATGTATCAAAGCCAAATGCTCTCAAACGCATGTTTCTAAATGTGGGGGGGGGGAAAACCAGAGGATCCGGAGAAAAATCCACGCGACGACGGGGAGAGAGAGAGACGCAACCTCCAAATAAAGAGCAGGCGTCAGGATGGGGATCGAACCAACGACCTCCTGCATACCAGGAGAGGCAGTTAACATCTCACCACCGTGGCGTCACCATTACAAACAGGCACACGTTTTGCACCGAACCCAGACCAAACGCTGCAACGCAACGCTGGTTTCGTGTGTGGGGCCTCAGGGCCTCGCGCGTTTCAGGGCTCATGCACCGACATGTGTTGGGTGTTGTGCAGGTGCAATGATAACTATCTTGGCGTGCTCCTAATTAGCAACCTCCCCCCCCCCCCAAGCAAGAAGAATTAAGATAATTGTGCTGCCAGCTGGGCTGTAGCGGCACACCGCTGCTGCTGCTGCCGGTAATGCCTGTCAGGCACTTTTAGAGAATCGCTTCGATACTTTAATTATAATTTAACATCTCATTGTCAGAGTTACTTTCGTACAGAGTAATGAAATACCCGTGCCGACTTCGGAGCTGTTGAAAACGAGGATTAGAAACAAAAAATCCTCGGCATGATTGAGAGGTGCGCGCGTTTATTCTCGAGTTTTTTTTTTATTACATACGTACATAACAACCCAGCAAAAGGCCAATTTCTTATCGTCCTGTCGGTATATATATTCTAAAAAGCATCGTGTAATCAAATTCTGGACCCAATCCACGGAGACGTAAGGAGAAGTACAAGGGACATGCGTGTATCGATGATGACATGTGCCAAGGCGCCACTCTCCTCGGTCTGGCGAAACAAACGGGAAGTGATCGGCGTAACTCCGGCGCATGCGCGTGCGTTTTCAATCAGCCGCCGCGACACGTAGAGCAGTTGTGGCGGCGCCGAAATGCACACGTACAAAATCACTCCAGCCACTTAAAATTCACAGCTGGATGGCCGTGGCAATTCGACGAACACCACCGATCCATCTCTCTCCAGCGGCGGCGCGGCTCAATTGCGCATCAAGTCGTCGCCAGCACGGACGATAGCAAAGCAAACGCTGAAGTCACCCAAAATTAGCTTTGGTCGCTAAGCCAACGCTACCTTCACCGCCGTGTGAATATTGTATTTGCATTTTCTGGAGCGAGAGTGAATTACCTGCGATGGCAAGCGGTGGAAAAGATCGTCACAAGCGCACACAGGCGTTCAATTTGAACAAAAAATTATTATTTAAAAGCCACACGAACTGCAACACCATAAATGTTGACCATTTCCCATATACAATCATACATCGCAGACAAGCATTCAAAAAAATGTAAAAAATGTACCCCATGTGTTCTTTTCATGCAAGGCAAACACAAAAAAACACACAATAGAACTCTAATGGAAGAATGTTTTCCCTCTTTTGAATGTAGGAGGGCTGCTTTGGCAGTGAAGACATTTTCCAAACTCTTGAGCAGACTCAGTAATTCCAGGATGCAGCTGGTGCCTCAGATGTACGCGCTTGTGTTCTTTCCACCGAGGGTCATTCGAGAATTATTTTCTTTATTTACCCGCCGCATCATCGCGAGAGAGGCGAAGGGGACACTCTGCGGATTGAAAACTCAAGTGCACAGCCGCTAGAGCCATGCACTTTTAAATCTCGATTGAAAACCAATTTCTTTAGAACTGCTTGTTGCGTTGTCGTTCCCCAGCACCTCCGATTAAGCACGGTTGGCTACGTACGGTGTGAAAAAAGTTCACGCGCACACACATACATGCACAATGAGTTGGGTCAAGAGGCTGCAGGCATCAGCTGTTGTCCTTTGCTACTCCACATGATTTATTTAGCAATTTACCTACCTATATGCACTGCTAATTTGTGTAACTCTTAAAACCAGATGATATCTTTTCTAGTGAATAACCTCAGTGCCACACCTAAGCAACGCATCATCCGTCTCATCCCTTTACATTGAAGTTCTGTAGACCGGAGATGCGGCTAATGTTTTCTTGAATCAATCCGTACGGAGATTTGAGCAAACCCTTTGCATCCAAGGGGCTTTCTCTGGGCTCTCTGGTTTCCTATTACAAGCAAAGCACTCACGAATAGAATGGAAAAACAGCCGCCAGTGAGAGCCACCCCTGAAAAAGCCACGATACTCCGTGACATTTCCCTGGATAAATAGAGTAAATTATTATTTCATGGCTGTGTTTGTGCATCCTTTGCTGTATTCGTTTCACACAGCACATGACACGATTTGTGCACAAGGCTACGACCAAAAATAAATAAGACTGGACCGAGACAATTCAGTTTGATAGCCTCAGCTCTGTCACCAGTGGTTGAGCAATGCTCCTGTCCCTCATAGTTGTAAGAATAGTTTCACATTCAATTGTGTCAAGCCCAGCTCAGACGACACGGTCTAAAGGCCGCTGGCCTTCAGGTGGTCCCAATGGCGGTAGAGCAGCAGTGGTTGCGTAACACGGACCAGTGACAGATGATGTTGTAGGCAAATGTCTTCGCCGTCTACAATGTCACGTCCCAAATAAAAGGACCCAAACATCGCACCTCATGGCTTTGAAGACAATGGTGCTCCATCAACCGCGTCAAAACATCAACAGCCCGATGCGTAAATCTCCTCCTTGAATTAAAACTTAAAGACACAAGCCCCAAGCAGCGCGACTGCAGCCATGTAACGCCAATGATAGATCACACAGTGAAGCACTGTAGTCTGACTGGCTTTCTTCAACGGAGTAGAAAAACTACGCAAATTCTCTCCTGAAGCCCTCTTGTAGTGAGCAGACCACGGACGTTGTCATTCAGCTCATGAACATTTTGCCATCATACGCAAAGGGCAAGTGTCAGATTTGAAAAGTTTGGATATTTGTATATTTAACGACGATTTTGTATCGTCGGATCAGTCGCACGACGTAACGATCCAACGCCGTTTCACGCTAACAAACGTGACGTCACCAGGTTGCCACTTGCTCCCCTGTTGGAAGGGGGGGGGGAGTAATGTAACTTGTGTAACGTCATTTCCTGTGATGTCATACTTTCGGAACAGTCTGAATAAAACCAAAACTGTCATATCGGGCGAACTTTCGTATCTAGGCCCGATTTAAATTAATCAAATTCATTTGTATAGATTCAAAAAGTCAGGAACACAATCCCCAAGACAGACTGCGTCTTGTTGTTTTCAGCATGGCTCTGCTATAACGTGGAGTTTCAGAACAGCAGCGAAACAAGTTCTAATCCACGCGCAGATGCTACTGTGTCTGCGTCCTGAATATAATTAGCGGACGAATGTTAAAATAAATATAATTTTAACAGTCAACTCAGCTTAGACCAACTTAGAAATTATACCCATGGACTCTGAGAACCTTGAAACAAAAAGCAGTGTACACATAATGAACCCCATGTGTGTGAATTAATAACTAAATCAATACAATAACCACATTAAATGGTAACAGAATCTACCAACATTACAAATAAGTTACCTTCATAGTGAAATGCTGCCACCTTGTGGGCAACATTAATAGGCCCTAAAATCTCTTACAAAATTACTGCAATTTAAACATTTGCGCCAATAGCAGAATCAACACCAAGCCCAGCTGCCTTTGTCTCTGCAGCTACAAATGCTTACACACGGGCACCAGGTGCTCATCTCAGGCTGAACTTACCTAGAAGAGGCCCACGCCAGTTTTACATTTTAATTTCCACCCGTCTTGTGCACACAGCTAGTCCCCAAGCAGTGATTAATTCCTCGATTACTACACGTTATTTATACTCGGAATGCATGCTGCCTTACCATGCGTGTAAGAAGGGATTATTTTCAATTCACCCAAGACTTACGGGCAGTTTCTCCTTAAGCCAATGGTCAGGACAAACGTGACCGATCGGCCGGGGCGGTACAATTGAGCCGGAGACGGATGAGATAACAGCACAAATGAGTCGCTTAACCAATGAGATAATTCGCACGCGAAAACCAGCCGCTACAGAGAAAACGGCGAATACAAACTGCAAAAGCGAGATGGTGTAGCCGAGACGCTGCGGGCAGTAAAAACAAAGCAGAGACATTACGGACAATGCAGATGAGAACAGCACAACCGAGGCGGTACAAACGGAGACGGACGCGACATCTGACGTGGGCCCAACGGCCAACAGTGGATCATGGGGGTCACTAGGATTGACAGGTAATCGCGGTGCACCACAGAGCCACAGCGAATTAAAACCGCGACGGAACATTCTCACAGTCGTGCCACGCGGTCGGCCACTCTATCGCCACACGGCAGACTCGGCCACCTCCTCAAGACACCCGCCGGACAATTAACCCTTTCCCATTCTGATGACGTCCGTGTACTGAATCGGAAGGAAAACTTTCAATGAAACAACTTCATCGGCACGCCGAGGCCAGGCGGGAGGGCCTGTGGCGCAGTTTTGCACCAGCTACCGTAGTGTGCGGTCGTGTCGCTACAGTTCTATGCGGCGAGTTCAATTTATTTAAAAACAACGGCTCTACATCTCTCCAAATAAAATTAAGGTCGAACCGCTCGCGCGTTCCGAGGTCCACTGGTGAACGGGGGGACAACACCCACCCTGCAACTTGCGGACGTCTGAGAACGGGGAAAGGGGGTTACGAAACAGTCGAGAGCGCGAGCGCGGTAACCAGCCTCAAAAGCGTGGACCGTTCCGCGAAGCCCCCAAACGTGTGGCAGCGCGTCCCCGGCACTCACCCGCATTCACGATGGCGTCGATTTCCAGCAGGGTGATGTCGCCCTTGAAGAGCGAGACCTTGTCGTTGATCTGATGGTTCACCTCGTACTCCCTTCCACCTACAGTTGAAGCACACGTTTCTGATAGAGCACATTTCATCGAAATCAAATCCGCGCGCACGCGTAAACCGGTGGTCAGGCATGGGCAGAGAGTGGGAGCGGCCACCCCTGTATCCGTTAACGTGTTTAGGCAAGGCCTGCTGCTGCTGCTGTGGCAGGCCCAGACAGACCACGGAGCCTTAACCAATCGGTGGCAGTGCGGGGAGCAACGATCCAGCATCCGGTCAGGAGCATCAGTGCCCAAATAACGAGTACCACTTCATTTCACCGAAGACGAATGGAAGTCGAGTTAAAGCTAAGTTACTAAAGCGTCATTAAGGTCATGAAAATTTTATACGAAAGATTAATCCCAGGTAAAAAGGCACTTCTAATCAGCAAAAGTATAAATTAGGGCAAGTCCTCCGTAAAACGGTCATTCACCTGAAGCGCTCTCCGATAAACATTTTCCTTTTGTGAGGCAGCGTTCATGAAAAACGTGACATGTTGTTGTTTCTACATCATGGGACCTCCTTTGCCAGTACCAAAATATGATAATACGTTTTTCCCCTTTTATCTGGCAACAAAACAGGTGTTAAGATGTTAAAACACCAAACTGAAACCTTTTACAAGGAATCATGTCTACATTAACCACAATGCTTGTGGTCAGAATGCAAAAAAAACACTGATAATATATGCATTGTCCTTGAAACTGATTGGTCCATACCAGAGACAGCTTTCTTTTGAGCCTCGTCTCAAACGGTGTTAGAAAGCTGTCTCTATATAGATAATGCAGTGAAGCCACTGGGGCGCTGTGATCCAATGCTTGGCCAAACCTTGAAAGTGTTTTTTCGTCACGAATTAAGGGTTCTAACGTGTCCTGGGCAGCCCGGAACACACGCAGCCTGAGGCTTATGTATACACAAGATAGCTACTTGCATATTGGGTTGCACACCATCCTTGAACCAGCAGGTGTGTACATTGGAGCGTACATTGGAGAGGCAACACAACGTTTTTTTCTATTCGCCTATTGTCAGTGGTCGCGAGGGAAATGTGGAGTCTTCCCTGCATGAAGCCGGTTCCTTCCCACAGCTCGGGTTCGCAGCCCACTTCCCCCCTCTGTAAAAATCAACGCGGCATAGCAATAGGAGCCGTTCTGAAGGGTTCAGATATGCGTGTCTGGCGCTGCGACAAGTTCCACTGTGGCGTACAATGCTGCGTGCCGGCTAATTTCAACCGCCGCACATATCGCATTGAAACAAAATGGGATTTTGTCGGCTTTTTGGGGGTGTGCTTAGCTTTGTTTCTTTGTCGTTGTGAATATACCGGTAACGCTTTGTTAAATCTGGTCGCTTGACAAAGCTCTCGGTATGGAAAAATCGTTTCAAAAAAATAAAAAATGAATCTACAATCTACCCAAGTTTCCTCTGCCCCCAATCAATAACCTAACAAATTATCCGTCGCTGAAGTTTGCACGCTTTGGATGCACGCCAGCCAACGGGCCTCGCTGGTCACGTGACCCAGCTGTGGGATATGGCTTCCGACGCAGAGTCTCGCGTTCGCTCAACAACCACCGGCACTTTACCTGGCTTTTCCAGCTCTGTAAGTTTGTCTTGGGAGTGGAGCTCCTTTTCCGACCACTTGTCCAGAGACTTGAGCATGATGTAGTTGCTACTGCACTTGTAGTACTTCCGCCTCTCCTCCAAGTCCTTCAGCTTTGTCAGCTGGTCTGTGGATGTCACAAACATGGGTTTTTAGCGGCTAAAGGGGGGTGCTGCAGACAAATCCACTGCGAGACGCATGCTCAACTCCTTTTGCGCCGCACGAAGCCAACCGTGCTAAACGGAGGCGCGGGAATTGTTGTACCCGAATTTACCAGCCATCTCAGCTCTCCACCACATTCACCAAGCCGCACTGAGCAGCACCCAAGTATGGTCAAACAACACCCGTCACCACCATCACGTGGGGGGAACTTCACAGAAAAGTGAATTGACAAAGGGCTGTCAATTATTCATGATTATTTTAATAGCGTAGAGGGCCTTGTGGAAGGTACGTCGCAGATCTGACTCGCTAGGGACTAAAGTATAAGCGGACCTTACAAAAACTATTGAAGGATGTTTTGTTATTTTACCAGGTTAGGCCCACTAAAAGCTAAAGCTCTTTTTCAGAAGCTCAACAAAGTGGCTTATCATCCAGTGGAAATTCATAGCAGCCAAAAACTCTAAATGCACGTCGATTCTAAATTTGGAGGGAAAAACCGGAGGACCCGGAGAAAAATCCATACGACCACAGAAAGAACATGCACACTCAAAACATACAGCAGGCGTCTGGGTCGAGATTAAGCCCACGACCACCTGCATACCAGGCGAGGGAGTTAACATCTTGCCACCATGCACAGAGGTTTCTGGACAAAACTGAAACGCAAACCGCTTCAAACGCGGGGAATATTTTTCACTGCGATGTAGAAGTACGCGGAAATACACAGTGACATTAAGATTGCATCGCTGCTTGTGAAAAGGTTGCCATCTGTTGACTTGTCACCGCCATACATGTGTAGTGTAGCACAAGTCGGAGACGAGGTAGTTGCAGGAGGCACCTTCTTTATCACAACTCTCTTTAGTTCTAGCTTTGAAGCTTTCGTGACTGCAAGGATTCATACTCTGTTTTTTTCGGTAAAGTCACGTAGGTAAAACAATCAATAAAATAAAATAAATGAAAACAACTAAATTAAATCACGACGTTTCGGAGGCAACACAAGCTTCCTTCATCAGGTGTAAAAAAGGCACAGCAAAATAACTGTAGCCTTTTTTACACCTGATGAAGGAAGCTTGTGTTGCCTCCGAAACATCGTGATTTAATTTAGTTGTTTTCATTTATTTTATTTTATTGATTGTTTTACCTACGTGACTTTACCGAAAAAAACAAAGAGTATAACTCTCTTTAGGTTCAACAGGCTCGCCTCCTTCCTTCTCGTTGTCGTACAGCCCAGCCTAGACACAAACCCTAACCGCGTTACACCGACGCGTCGACCGAGACAGCCAACAACTGTCCGGCCGTGCAATTATCGAGTGAAGGTGGCAGCGACGATGGCGGCTAAGACGACAGCGACGGCGAGATGAGTGCCCTCCCAGAACCGGCAGCCCAGAACTCTCACTCTCCGCTGCTTTTATCCTCCTCGGCGCGGCCTGGCTCCCTTCTCTAACCCACTAGTGGGTTCCAGGGGCTTCCCGATAAGGTCTTTGGTGACCCTTGCCCCAGTTCCTCCGCCCTGCCGGCACACCCGTGTATATGCTCAACGGCGTGTGCGCCAACTGGCAAACGCAGTTGCACTGCTGTACAGCAGTCGGCGCTATGTCACGACACATGTAACGATCCATAGATTAATGAATAACAGTCAATTGTTTTGCTCGCAACACGTACAAGAATTGGTTCTTTGTAGTTATGCAATTAAGAAGTCAATTGCACGCTGGTGGACTTAGGCAAGCTGAGCGAGACTGTGTAAACAAAACACGGCTAAACGATTCAGACACTGGCAACACATACGAGTCAGACAATAATTGATTATTGAATAGAATTGACCACGGATTGGGAAAATATCCATTAAAAATTGTAGGGAGGTAAATCACTACATTCCTTAGGTTGATGGCTGCAAGGCGCGCCAAATAGATGTTACATAACATGAACACTTTTAGTTTTATTTTATTTTATTTGTATTCACTTAATTTTTTATTAATTTTTTTCTATCTACGTGACTTTACCGAAAGAAACAAAGAATATGAACTCTCATATTTATTTACAAGTGATGACATCACATTCATCCCTCTATTTAAGAAAGAAACAGGAGGGTTTCCCCACAAATCTGGCTGTCGCCTGATGATGCTGGTTGTAATTACTGGCAAAACGTCGTACTCGAATTGTAAATGTTGTGGTTTTACTCTCCAATACACCGGTGTGCTGCAATAGTGACGAATTGGCATCTTCTATTTGCGTGACAAACATCACCAAATGGCTGTGCCGGGTGGTGGCGAGTTCAAATGACACTTTTATATTTACGCGATCTAACCCAAAAACATCTATTATGGACTAATTTAACACATTCCTGCGGAGGGAGCTGGTAGGAACGTTGGGTTGCTCGGTCAATGGCCAGGGTCAACGGCGGCGTAGTGTATTCCGCAATTATGCCCGACTGTGAGGGCGGGCACAAGCCGGCGTGAGTAGGTTAAACGTTAAGTTTTATAAGGGCACCACGGGGTGACCAGCCCCTCCCCACCCAGCCCCACCCCTCCCACCCCCCACCCAGCCCCACCCCTCCCACCCCCCACCCAGCCCCTCTCCACCCTCCCCACCCAGCCCCTCCCCACCCAGCCCCTACCTCCCCACCCAGCCCCTCCCTGCACGACGGACGGACACAATAATCCCCTGTGGGCTGGTGTAACCAGGAGGTTCCTACCAGTATGAGTTGTTTCAACATAGCAGCGACCAGTGACCACTACTGTCTCACGCCGCTAAGTGCCTTCAGTGTGGCATGAGATCTCTTTGGCCGCTTTATTAGACCCGCGCGACACATGTCATCATCTACGTTTTACATGATTCAGAGTTTAAGTTGTAATAAAACTGTTAATTTACATCTGTCGTCTTGGGTTAAACAATTTTCGTTTAGCTTTTCTTCAGTTCAAATCTCTGCTTCGTTCCACGTAATTTTAAATTCTAGTTTTATCATGAATGTAACGGCCCATGTTGCGTTTACCTCTCTACCGTTTGTGACAAGGTCTCTTCTGAAAAATAAATTAATACCTCAGGTGGGCTTTACCTGGTAAGATGAAAACATTTATTTAGTTTTATTTGTATATTTTTAAGCGATTTGTTTACCTTTCCTATACTTTCCACTTCTATCGTGTTTTTGTATTGTTTGCTGTAACGTTCTGACCCGCCCCTACTGGACATCAGAGAAAAAAATAGCTTTGTAGCTCTTAGTATTCCTCCAGTATCAATACATTTTCGGATTCTCTGCTGTAGTCAAGCGGAAAGGCCACGACTTGCGAGGAACAAATCAGTGTTGTCAACCGCATGCAGATATCGCACATCTGATCGGACCACTCAACATCCTACGCAATGCAAGGACAAAGGTAGAGGTGCAGCCCCCCAATTGCTTACCCACTGCTGGGGAAAGAGCCTCGACTAGACGGATCTCGTAAGAAGATTTTCTAGAGCCGTAGTGGCCAACTGGCGTCTCCAGGCACCCCGTGCGGCTCTATCGAAGGGGCATAACGTAGAACATACGACTATCACAGCAGTAGCAAATAGATAATGAATTAAAGTTGTATGATGTGGATGATATATAATATATACACTTGGATCTTTGCAGAACTCACAGGTACTTTTTGGCTCTGGGTCTGTTACAGGTTGGCCACCACTCATCTAGAGGATATTTGGCCTACTCTTCCATTTGGGTCAGACATTCTGAAAGAGACGGGAGGCACCCACGCGTTACCCCTCCACGCGCGACCTGCCACTCGAATAACCGTGGTGCACCCATGCACACTGCGGGTTGGACAGAGACGGTGGGGAGGGGGTAGTTTCATACATTTGCACCGTTATTTCAACTGTCGTGCCAGGGGAGATGGAATCGAACCGGCGACCTGTGGACTGCAAGTCGAGTATGCCGACCACGACACCGCTTTGGCAGCAATCCCCCACAATGCAAGATTAAAGCAGAAATGTAAAAAAAAGTGTCCGTCAGTTATTTCAGCTTCTGCAATTTTCTCAGTCTGAGCCTAATGAAGGATTATATTTCAACGAGTGGCCAATTCCGTTTCGGTTATCGACTGGAATGCAGGTGCATGTGCGCACTTATTATTATTAAACTGTCTCCGGTGTCTGACCTAAAGCTCTCGGCTCAGAATCTCTTGAGGCACCAGCTCAGTGTCCCGACTCAGCCAATTAGCTGGCCTCTCTTGCCAACCAGAAACATCCACGGCCCTAGTCCCCACCAAGATAAATCTCTCCCTTGACAAATTGTAACACACAACTCTCATAACTGGTCCATGGGACACATTATCTGGCCTGGAATTGCTTTCCAGCTCCAAAGTTTAAAAGTTAAGGTCGCAATCTTCCGAAGGGATGTCTCTCTTCCATCCCCAAAGACAAAGATCCCCCGTATAGCCTCAATAAACTGTTGGGGTAAGTGCTGTTAGCGAGTAGCACCTATGAAGGTCACCAAGGCACACAAGGGGGTTGTGGTTGGCCAGCAACATGCCCAGCCGCCTTTGTCTCCCCAGTGGCAATGTCTTTACACATGGCACCAGGTACTAATTTGAGGCCGAGTCAACCTAGGGGAGGCCCAGGACAGGTTAAAATATTTATCACCGGTGTTGGCCGTGAGCGGAAATCTAACTAGGGTCGCCGGGTTCATGGCGCAGCGGCGCTAACTGCTGCACCACCGCTCCCCACTTCCATCCCCTCGCCTCTCCCCATACCCCCCCCCCCAACTCCTTCCCGTCCCTCCCTTTCAGTACTCCTAAGCCCCCTCTATCGTAGTCAGTCATTCCTCAGCCCTTGCATGCCCCTGCCAATCAAAATCATATCTTGTCACCGTTTTTTTTACTACGTTAAGCACATTGAGTGATGGCGCTCTATAAATATATAATTTGATAAGGGCGCCTTTCCCCATCTCCTCTCTCTGCTTGCTTCTCAAAGTAACCACACACACCAAAAAAAATACAATCGGAA